ATATTCTTTGCCAAACCCATAACTAATAATCATCAATTTTTCTCTGGTCTTCATTAATAAATGTCAAGATTTCAAATGCATAGGACCCAATCCGTAAATAATCACCCATGGAAAGTTTCCTAAGATGTCCTTTTTCTGAAAATTAAATATTTACAATTTCAGATGTTTGATAGTCATGCATTTTCTTGATATTTTGATTTTTTCCATATAACTTCTTCATTTTTATGACATTATCAAATAGTTATAGTTATTCATCACAATCTAACATGGAAACACTGACAGCTAATTTGGAAAGGATTCTCATATACTTAATTTGGTTCTCATCGAATTTTTTTCTAATTGGCTTTGATTGAACTTTCTTGTAAAATGACCATAAAGTAACACACACCATACACATAAAAGAAAAAAAAATCTAAAGGCTTGCCTTTGGCTTAGTTCCCTATGAGTTTTAAAAACCAAGTGAGTAATTAAGTAGAATTGGTTTGAATTTGACACCATAGAGACGTAAATATGATTTCTTTGGAATCCTATATGAATAGGAAGGCAGAAAACAAATCAATATTTCAAGTAGATATCCAGTTTTGGATGCATATCCCAAAACAATTTGCATTCTACTTAATAGGGCACCATAAAGGGGGAGATTTCTTATGAAAGATGGTAAAGAAAACTGGAGGTTGGAGGCATATCTGACTTATCTCATGAAAATTAACCTTGGGCTGCTGGTGAGTTTGATTTGCTTCCTCACCCCTTGTGAGGATGTCATATGATGATGTTGTTCTCAGTTAATTTTTACAGCTACTAACTATGCAATAATTTTAAATATGTAGAATCACTTGAAAATAGCCAAACGTGGTGCTATTTTAAACATTAAGTATCTTATAAAAGTATAGGTTTCTATAAAATTAAATATACTAAAAAAAAATACAAAATTATTATCATTCAGCTCCTCTGAAACTGGAAATTCAGTGTAATTTCATGCAAAAGTGTGCTCCAAGGCCTTTGATCTAT